GAATTAATATGTCAGATGGAAAAGACCCAGGGGCAGCGCCCTATGAAAGCCTAGGACCCTTGTTCCTTGTCAAGGTTCTGCAAGGTTGGAGTCATAATCACATAACTCCAGAGCAAGCTCCCTTAGCCAGCCCTCCATGAGAAGGGCACTTGACTAGGGGCTTAATTTATGACAAGCACGTTGGGAAAAACATGCTGATTTCATTCCTTTTATTACCTCCCTGGCACAGCAAGTTAATTAAAAAAAAAGTATGATGACTGCTTTGTGCTCACATAAGAGGTTGATTTGTAATGTAAATATATTCATGTGTATGGTACATACATTAATATAGAAGTAATAATAACAGCGGGTTAGTATCTATCACCAAATGAGCTTTGGACCCTGGGGAAGGCATTATGCATGGAATATTTATAACTCTACCAAGCCGACATTATTCAGGTCATTCTGTTGATGGGGAAACTGAGGCTCAGAGTGGTTAAGGAGCATGCCCAAGGACATATGGCTGATGTGTGACGGGATTCAACCTAAGTTATAAGATAGTGTTTGTGGCAGGGTGAACTAAAGCTCCTCTCTGTATGCTCTGCCTCAGCCCTACCATTTGCCTTTATTTAATCCCCATCAAGGTCAAGAAGAGAATTGAGCATGAATGTGAAGGAAGATTGATAGGCTCTGTTCATTGTTGTGTATGTGAAGAAGCTGAGGACTATAACCAGGAGAAGGTTGTATCCTCCAAGAAAGGCAATGTTATTAAGACACAAGTAGGTTAAGAGTGAAAGGATTGAAAAAAGATAGGCTAGCTCCTAATCAAAAGAAAGCTGGAGAGAGAATATTAGTATCAGACAAAGCAGATTATAGAACAAATAATATATCAGGAATTAAAAAGTGTCATTTCATAATGATTAAGGTATCCATTAATCAGAGTGACATAGCAATTCTAAATGTTTATGCACTGAATAACAAAGCTTCAAAATAGATGAAACAGAAACTAATAGACTTGCAAGAAGAAATGGACAAACCTACAATTACAGTCAGATTTCAACACCATGTTGTCAATAGTCAGTAGAACAAGTGGACAGAAGATCAGCAAAGATGTAGACAACTTGGGTGACACCCTCCACCAACTCAGCCCGATTGACGTTTACAGATCACATCACCCAACAACAGCAGAGCACACGTTCCTTGCTAGTGCATGTGAAGATTTACCAAGATGGGACACACTCCAGTCTGAGACTAAAAAAAGTCTATGCACATCTATCAAGATTCAAGCCCTATAAAGTGTGTTCTTTGACCATGGTGGAATCAAATCACAAATCAGTGACAGATACTTGGAAAATCTCCAAATAATTACACATGGAATGATACATTTATAACTAACCAGCAAGTCAAAGGAGAAATTATATGATTATCTCAGTAGCCATAGAAAAAGCATTTAACAAAGCCCAACATTTGTTTCTGATTAAAAATCAAAACTCTGGTAGTAGAAGGGAACTTTCTCAGCAGAATAAGAGGCAGCTATGAAACAAATGTGTAACTAACATAATTAATGGTGAAAGGCTAAATCCTTTCCTTTTCTAAAGATCAGAAAGAAGACAAAGATGCCTGCTCTCATAACTTCTATTGGACATTTGTACTAGAGAAATAAAGGACGTTCAGACTGGAAAGTGAAAGTCACTCAGTCATGTCCGACCTTTTGCGACCCCATGGACTAGACAATCCATGGAATTCTCCAGGCCAGAATACTGGAGTGGGTAGCCTTTCCCTTCTCCAGGGGATCTTCCCAACCCAGGGATTGAACCCAGGTCTCCCTCATTGCAGGCAGATTCTTTACCAGCTGAGCCACAAGGGAAGCCCAAGAGTACTAAAGTGGGCAGCTTATCCCTTCTCCAGTAGATCTTCCAGACCCAGGAATTGAACCAGGGTCTCCTGCATTGCAGGTGGATTCTTTACCAACTGAGCTATCAGGGAAGCCCTGAGACTGGAAAGGTGGAAGCAAAAGGTATATTTCTTTGCAGACAGTATGACCATCTATGGTCAATATGATCAACTAATAAGTAAATTATTACACGCCTGCAGGATACAACATCAATCAGTATACAGAAGTTAAATATATTTATATATACCAGCAACAAGCTATCCAGAATTACAATGTTAAAAAATCATATATTGTATGCTAAGTCACCTCAGTTATGTTCAACTCCGCAACCCTATTGACTGTAGCCTGCCAGGCTTCTCCATCCATGGGATTCTCCAGGCAAGAATATTGGAGTGGGTGGCCAGGCCTTCATCCAGGGGATCTTCCTGACCCAGGGATCAAACCCGAGTCTCTTATGTCTCCTGCATTGGCAGGCAGGTTCTTTACCATTAGCACTACCTGGGAAGCCCAAGTACAAAAGTAATTGTGGTTTTGCATTATTGAACTTTGCTGTTTGGTAATATAATACATTCTTAAATAAATGTGGTTATGTTATACATGATTTTAATGCATATTTCTCACTTTATCTTTGTTAATGACTTATTACTTGCTGTATATTTTCTATTTATTTTAGACTATGGAAATGATAGACAAAAAGCAAATTAGAGCGATTTTCTTATTCGAGTTCAAAATAAGTCATAAAGCAGTAGAGACAACTCGCAACATCAGTAACACATTTGGTTCAGGAACTGCTGACGAATGTACAGTGCAGTGGTTGTTCAAGAAGTTTTTTAAAGGAGATGAGAGACTTGAAAATGAGGCGTGCAGAGGCTGGCCATCGGAAGTTGACAGCAACCCAACTGAGCGCATCAGTGAAGCTGATCCTCTCACAACTACATGAGAAGTTGCCAAAAAAATCAACATCAACCATTTTACAGTGAAGCAAACTGGAAAGGTGAAAAATCTTGATAAGTGGATACCTCATTAGCTGACCAAAAAAAAAAAAAAATCATCATTTTGAAGTGTTGTCTTCTCTTATTCTGTGCAACAACAGTCAACCATTTCTCTATTGAATTGTGACGTGCAATGAAAAGTGGATTTTATATGACAACCAGAGACAACCAGCTCAATGATTGGACTGAATCGAAGCTCCAGATCACTTCCCAAAGCCAAACTTGCATCAAAAAAAGGTAATGGCCGCTGTTTGGTGGCCTGCTGCCTGTCAGATCCACTACAGCTTTCTGAACCCGGTGAAACCATTACATCTGAGAAGTATGCTCAGCAAATTGATGAGCACCAAAAACTGGAACACCTGCAGCCAGCATTGGGCAACAGAAAGGGCCCAGTTCTTCTCCACGACAACACCCAACTGCGTGTCACACAACTAATGCTGCAAAAGTTGAATGAATTGGGCTACAAAGTTTTGTTTCATCTGCCACATTCACCTGACCTGTTGCCAACTGACTACCACATCTTCAAGCATCTTGACAGCTTTTTTCAGGGAAGATGCTTCTACAATCAGCAGGAGGCAGAAAATGCTTTCAAGAGTTTGTTGAATTTTGAACCTCAGATTATTAAGCTACAGTAATAAACAAACTTATTTCTCATTGGCAAAAATGTGTTGATTGTAATGGTTCCTATTTTGATTAATAAAGATGTGTTTGAGCCTAGTTATAGTGATTTAAAAATTCACAGTCCGAAATCGCAATTGCATGTGTACCAACCTAATACAATAGTATCAAATATATGAAACTAGGAATAAATTTGACAAAAGATAATACGTAAGATCTGTACACTGCAAGCTGCAAAACATTGTTGAAAGAAATTAAACTAAGACCTAAATAAATTGAGAAATGTATTTACCCTGTTACGGGACCAGCAGACTCAATATAAATTTTAAAATGTCTGTAGATTTAAGGCAATATTTACCAAATTTCCAGTAGTTTTTATGTAGAAATCGTCCACTGATTCTAAAATTCATATGGAAATGCAAAGGACCTAGAATAACCAAACAACTTTGAAAAAGAAAAACATTACCTGAAATCTTTAAGCTCTTTCTTGCATCTCTTTTTAAGAGCAAAATCTTGTTCATGACTTCACAGAAGATCATCCAAGGATGATCATTGAGGCTGTGGAGAGAGTGGGTCCCCAAGGAAAATCTGGGGGCTGTTCTAGAGAAGGGGGAATGGATAGCTATAGGACAGGCAGAAACAACAGATTTTTTAATATTTGTTTTTAATTTATTGATGATTGCTTTACAGTATTGGTTTGATTTCTGTCATACATCAACATGAATTACCCATAGGGGTACATATGTCCCCTGCCTCTTGAATCTGCCTCCCACCTCCCATCCTTTCGCACCTCTCTAGGTTATTACAGAACCCCAGTTTGAGTTCCCTGAGTCATGTAGCAAATTCCCATTGGCTCTCTGTTTTACATATGGTGGTGTATATGCTTCCATGCTACTCTCTGCATTCATCTCACCTTCTCCTTCCTCTCTGCAGCCTGTGTCCATAACTCTGTTCTCTATGTCTGCATCTGTATTGCTGCAGATGTATTGTCTGTATGCTGTATTATCTGCCCTGAAGATTCAGGTTCATCAGTACCATCTTTCTAGATTCCATATATATGCGTTAATACATGATATTTGTTTTTCTTTTTCTGACTTATTTCACTCTGTATAATAGGCTCTGGGTTCATCCACCTCATTAGAACTGACTCAAATGCATTCCTTTTAATGGCTGAGTAGTATTCCATTGTGTATATGTACCACAGCTTCTTTATCCATTCATCTGCTGATGGACATCTGTGTTGCTTCCATGTCCTAGCTGTTATGAATAGTGATGCAATGAACATTGGGCTACATGTGTCTTTTTCAGTTTTGGTTTCCTCAGGATATATGCCTAACAGTGGTATTGCTGCATCATATGGTGGTTTTATTCCTAGCTTTTAAAGGAATCTTCATGTTGTCTTCCATAGTGATGGTATCAATTTACATTCCCACCAGCAGTGGACACCCTCTCCAGCACTTGTTTTTTGTGGACTTTCTGATGATGGTCATTCTGACTGGTATGAGGTGATTCCTCATTGTAGTTTTGATTTGCATTTCTCTAATAATGAATGATGGTAAGCATCTTTTCATGTATTTATTAGCCATTAACAGATATTTTGTTGCAGCGAGCCCACTGGAATAAATAGAATTCAGTCTGAGCCACTGTTTTTTTCTCTGGCAATTCCCAGTAAAACATACATGGCTTTAGGGGCTGTGTCTATGCTGGTCAGGCTCTAAACCTCAGGGCCATAGAGCCTGGGAGTCAATGAAGGGGCTACCCAGGAGAGAAGCCTTGATAAAGAACTTGACATGTTTCCCCTCGTCAGGCACACACACAGTCCAAGTGAGCAAATCTTCTGCTTCTGTCCCTCCTCCAGGGACGTTACCTGTAGAATTGTCCCCACCACCCAGTGAAGAATTTCTCACATGAACTACAGCCCGGGCCCTGTCCTGGCAAAGGTGGGCAGGGCTGTGTGGCTGATGGAAGCTGGAGGGACTTACCCTCCCTCCTGGTGGAGGGCGATGGGAAAGGTGGGGATCACAGAAAGGCCAGGAACTCAGGGCTTCCAGAGAAAGTCTGCGAGGAAGAGAGGGTAAGACCCAGTCCTCAGATAACACTGTGCAATAGCATAGCCAAGGGCTGTGGCCTGAGCACAAACGGAAGAGAAACGGACTCTCAGCTTCTCTCAGGAGTAGCTGCTCTGAGCCCACAGACCCGAACCTGACCCAGGGCCCCTTTTTTTTACCCTGGCTTACCTGCTGGGTCCACGTAGCTGGGGAGAATGTGCCCCCACCATAGGAAGCCTCCAGGTGGCTGTCTCCTTGCTGGAGGGTCCAGGGAAGCAGGCAGGAGGCTCACAGAGAAGACAGCACTCCCCCGCCGGTCCACTCCAACCTCAGTTCTTGGCCCCAAACCGACATCTTCCCCGGCAACACAGAAATACGCGCTCTTGTCCTTGGGCCTTTGAGAGACTTCCCCAGAACACTGGGAGGAGGATAAAATTGCAGCGCTTACTTAGCTCCTCTAAGTCCTGGATGCCCACAGCTTCCAAGGCAGTCATCGTCACTGTGCCCTCTGAACAGTTGAGGAAAGGGGCGTGGGCATGTTGGTGACTGAGCCGTGACCCCACAGTGCACGGGGGCAGAGGCTGACCTCCGAGTCCAGGCGGATTGGCTGCAGAGCCCCCTGTGACCCCATAGACTGTACGGTTCCAGGGTGGGGACATTCTAGAATCTTCTGTCACAAACAGCCTCATGTGTGAGATGGCAAGTCTGACTCGGCCCTCCTGCCCTGTCTCTTCTCCATGGCCAGGGGAGAAGCAGGCCCGCCTGTCCTTCCCGTCCTCCTCTCTGTCCAATGCCGTCTTGTTGCAAACAGTAGAGCACACACCTGGTGCTGTAAGCACAGGCCATCCACAGGCACCATGTAGCATGATGTTGTTGTTCAGTCGCTCAGTCGTGTCCGACTCTTTGCGACCCCATGGACTGCAGGACGCTGGGCTTCCCTGTCCTTCACCATCTCCCAGAGTTCGCTCAGACTCATGTCCATCGAGTCGGTGATGCCATCCAACCATCTCATCCTCTGTTGTCTCCTTCTCCTCCTGCTTCAGTGTGTCCCAGCATCAGGGTCTTCTCCTACAAGTTGGCTCTTCACAATAGGTGGCCAAAGTATTGGAGCTTATACCATGTAGTATACACCCCCCAAAACAAGACATTTCTCCACAGAAACAACCACGCCATGCTGTGACCACACACTCACTTCATGTTACTAAGAGAAATGCTAACTTCCATGTCTTCTCCAAATTACATTTGGTTTCCTCAACTGGTTCTTTATGGTCTTTGGCCTAAAGTGGTTGTTCTTTTTTTTTGCTTTTTTTCCCCAAGAAAAGGAGCATTTTGTCCTAAGAGAACTTCATATCTCCTTGGAAGACCAAAACTGCAAGAACTTTGAAAATGATAGTTTTCTAACTGCCAGATGGGGCCAGGGTGTTGGGGATGTGGAGGGAGAGAAAGAGCAGGAGCCTGGAACTTCACTACAGTTCCCACTCCAGAGGATATCAGACGTAATGTCAGAAACCAGGCAGCTCTTTTCAGCCATCATCCCTTCTCTTCTGAAGTAACTGTAGGTTCCCTGGAAGCTGTGAAGATGGTGGAGAGAGGCCTTGGGTACCACTTATCCTGTTCCATCCAGAGGTAACATCTCATGCAACAATGGAACCATGTGGAAATCCGGACATTGACATGGGTACAGTTGTATTGCACATAAGTGCCATCTTATCACATGTGTTCATCTGTGTAACCTTCCCTGCAGCCAATACCCAGAACCTTCCACTCACCATGAAGGTCTCCCTGTTCCCTCTCATCATTCCTGTACCTTGATGAGTTCTTTCATTTTATCATTTAGAAAATGTGATTTAAGTAGAATAATCCTGGTAGCTCCGCTGGTAAATTCGCTTGCAATGCAGGAGAGTGAAAGTGAAAGTCGCTCAGTCGTGTCTAACTCTTTGCAACCCCATGGACTATATACAGTCCATGGAATTCTCCAGGCCAGAATACTGGAGTGGGTAGCCTTTCCCTTCTCCAGGGGATCTTTCCAACCCAGGGATCGAACCCAGGTCTCCCGCATTGCAGGTGAATTCTTTACTGTCTGAGCCACCAGAGAAGCCCAAGAATGCTGGAGTGGGCAGCCTCTCCCTCTCCAGTGGGTCTTCCCGGCCCAGGGATTGAACCGGGGGCTTCCCTGATAGCTCAGTTGGTAAAGAATCTGCTTGCAGTGCAGGAGTCACTGGTTCGACTCCTGGGTCAGGAAGATCCCCTGGAGAAGGCAAAGGCTACCCACTCTAGAATTCTGACCTGGAGAATTCCATGGACTGTCTAGTCCATGGGGTCCCAAAGAGTCAGACACAACTGAGCAACTCTCACTTAACTTACTTATTTGCTACCGACTATTTACTTCCATGTAATTTTTGGTATGTGAAGGGCCTAAGTCTGCCCTTTTATTTTTTTGTTTTCTGTTCTTTGCTTTTATTTTTCCATCTAACTATTGGTTACTTGAACATCTGTTTTAGAGTCTTGTTTCAATTTTTCAATAGTGTTTCTGAGTATATCTTTTTGCATAGCTATTTCAGCTGTTGCTCTGGATGTTACGCATACATGATTTATAGCAGTTGACTGCTGTTGACATTTTACAAGTTTGAGTAAAGTGTCCAAACTTTACCTCCCACTAAGTCCCTTCACTCACCCTTGTTTAAAATATAATTGTTTTCAGTATTTCTTCTCTATACGTTTAGAACCTCATTGAACAATGTTATAATTTTTGCTTCAACCAAACAAAATTTACATAACTCAAGAAAATAAATCTATTGTATTTATCTTATTTATATGGTCTTTCTTCCTTCTAGGTGGTCTAAGAGTACATATGTAAATATAGAATTCATTTATTTTATAAATATTTAAATGTTTATTTTGCCAAATGTATGTTAAATATTTTAATACATTTATTATTAAACGTAAATGTATAAATAAAAGTACATGTTAATTCCAGGGTTTCTATTTGTACTTTATAGGAAGAATAAAGAGAGGTGTCTCTACTCCATCTTGGTCTGGAGACCTAATCTTTTAAGGAAAGAAAGTCTGAGGTCCTTCCCTGGTGGTCCACTGGTTAAGACTGTTCTCCCAGCAAAGGGGGCCTGGGTTCAATACCTGATCAAGGGGCAGAGATCCTGCACGCTGCAGAGTGTGGCCAAAATAAATAAATACAATAAAAAGACATCAATTAAGAAATCCTGAGAAGGGAGAATCAGAAAGTCTTAGCATTCCTCTGCCCTGCTACAGCTTTGGGACAGCATGGATGGCAGCCTGGGAAACCAGTTCCACAGCATTCCACTTGGTCCTTGGGCATCTTTTGGAGAAGACTTTGGGCATCCTGGAAATACAGAGCAGGACTGAAAAAATGCAGAAGGAAGTGGGATGGGGGGTACCTGAGTTACCTTGTCTCCCCCCCCCCGCCCCCGCCGAGATATGGTCAGCCACATACAAGAAGTGTTCTGCACTTGTTTCTTTGAACTCTGCCAGTGACAAACCAGGAAGTTACGGGAATCTAAAAACACTGGGTTTTGATTCAGAATCCAACAGGCTTTCCTTTGTCCATCAAAAGCCCTTGCTGAGGCTTGTCAAGAGATGTTGCCACACTCTGCTTCCTCAAAGCCCCCGCCGCAATCTGGGTGTCATCCCCAGCTCTGTGTCCCTCATCCCCCCAAGGAGCCATCCACACCAAAGTATTAATACCGGGTGGAGGATTATGCTGACCACTGCTAAGGAGCCAGCAGCGGCAGCTCAGCAGACAGACCACCAGGATCGGAGTAGGAACTGGGCAAAGCAGTGACCACCCAACCTTCAACTCCAAACACACACCTGACCCATTCAGTAGGTTCCAAATCCTCTCAGCTAGTTTACTTCCTAGATTTTTGCTTTTAAGGAACTTTGGGCCATTCGCAAAAATAAGCCCACTTTGCAAAAGTGAACATTTGCTGTTGTGTACAATAAAAAAAACTTGCCGATCATGAAGATGTTTCTAGGAATATTGCTGAAATGCACACTGGCCTCCGAGGGAACTTGTTTATTTGGAATATCACTTCTGAAGGGATTGTTTGTCAAACAAAACCAAACAAAAATAAGTCAACTTCCTTTAGACATAATCACTCCCCTCTACCTTCAGTGGCTCATGGGGACTCCTGGGGGCTTCTGTATTCTTACAACTTCCTGGAGAAAGGCCAGACTCTGGTCTCAAATAAATCCACAGAAATGTGCTGTGTGCCCGGCATGGAGGTGCTGACGAAAGCAAAGGATTGGCTTTATCCCTGGAAGTGTTTCAAGACTCAATAACCACTTTCTCCTGCAAATAAGTTCCCATCTCGCGTGGCCCAAATGGTAAAGAATCTGCCCACAATGCGGGAGACCCGGGGTTGATCCCTGGGTCAGGAAGATCCACTGGAGAAGGGAATGGCAACCCACTCAAGTATTCTTGCCTGGAGAATTCCATGGACAGAGGAGCCTGGCGAGCTATAGTCCAGGGGATTGCAGAGTCGGACACGACTAACTACAGGCCGAGCTTCACAAGAAGCCCCACATTTCTACTAACTTTCCCCACCCTCAAACCTTCCTTCACTTACTCATTCAGCAAGTATATACTGAGCATTTATTTTGTACCAGGTACTCTACTAGGTGATGGAAAGTACATTGAAGAAAACACCCGAAATCTTGCCTTTATGGGAACTTACTTTCTCATGGGAGAAACAGATGATAAGCCTAATATAAATAAAGTATATGAGATGTTATCAATAGAAGGTATTACGTGCTCTGAGGACAGTGAAGCCGGGGTGCAGTTTACAATGAGGGGAAGGCTCGTTAAGAAGGTGACGTGCAAACAAGGACTTGAAGCGGGTGGGGAGTGAGCCATGTGGATCCCAGGGCAGGACACACCTGGCAGTAGTAACAGTCCTGAGCCGAGAGGGCTTCTGGTCTTGTCAGGAACAGCGAGGAGGCAAATGAAAAGACTGTTTTGCACTGAGTGAACGTCTAGTCTGGTCAAATACAGACCAGTCTTTTTATTTTTCATAGCCTATTGCTACTTAGAATTTATTTGCCTCTGTTTCTTTTTAAAAAATATTAATTGAAGTGTAGTTGCTTTACAATGTTGTGTTAGTTTCTGCTGTGTAGTGAAGTGAATCAGCTGTATGTATACATATGTCCCCTCTGTTTTGAATTTCCTTCCTGTTGAGGTCACCACGGAGTACTGAGTTTCCTGTGTTCTCCAGTTCTCATTAGTTATCTTCTGTATACACAGTGTCAGTAGTGTATATGTCAGTCCCAACCTGCCGTTTCTTCCCACCCTCTGTCTCCCCCTTTCCCCTTGTTATCCGGACCTTTGTTCTCCACATCTATGTCTCTATTTTATAAATAAGATCATCCATACCAATTTATTCAGATTCCACATATATGCATTAATACATACTTGTTTCTCTGACTGACTTCCCTCTGTATGACAGTCTGTAGGTCCATCCATGTTTCTACAGATGACCCAATTGCATTCCTTTTTATGACTGAGTAATATTCCAAAATAAAGTCAAGTCTTGCAAGCAGGGTCTTCCAGGGAACCACCAGACAGGTATGAGAACAGGGTTTTGACCCGCTTCTGCCAGTTCACGTCAGTCGCTTAATTGTTTCTGACTCTCTGCGACCCCATGGACTGCAGCATGCCAGGCTTCCCTGTCCTTCACCATCTCCCAGAGTTTGCTCAGACTCATGTCCATCGAGTCGGTGATGCCATCCAACCATCTCGTCCTCTGTCATCCCCTTCTCCTCCCACCCTCAATCTTTCCCAGCATCAGGGTCTTTTCCAATGACTCAGTTCTTCCCATCAGGTAGTCAAAGTATTGGAACTTCAGCTTCAGCAACAGTCCTTCTGATGAATATTCAGGATTGATTTCCTTTAGGATGGGCTGGTTGGATCTCCTTGCAGTCCAAGGGACTCTGAAGAGTTTTCCTGGGGACTGAAGGTTGTTGGTTTTCAAGCCTACTGGGGAGAGGGGGATGAGAGTAAGAGAAGTTCCAACACCATAAAGCTCACTATTCTTGCTGAGATCCTGCCTTTCCCTACTAGCAAACACTCCCTGACTACTGCAAGCCTTTCATGAATTTTCTAAATTCTGCAAAAAATGACTGTAATGATTTTTGCACAGTGGTCCTCAAAGAGGATATTCAGGAGCCTTCACCAACCTTCCTACTGACGCTACTGTTGAAGGGACACTTGGGGGCTGGAAATTGACATAAACAAACTGGACTGACTGGATGTGCGATTATGAGAGGGGAGAAAGATTTGGCTGGATTGGGGTCCCCAGGCAGCAGGGTGATGGGAATCAAGGCAGGATGGGGAGCTGGGACCCCTGTCCAAACTGGCATCTGAAGCTTTCAAGAAGAAAAGTGAACATGGATCTTTTACAAAGGTTAAGCTGGTAGGGGGCCGGGAGATGAGCTGGAACAGAGGGAAGAAGACCAATGACTTTAATCAGAGGGGATACTGGGTGCCTGGGAGAAGCACCAGTAAATAGGCTAGACAGGAGAGCCATCCTCAGGATCCATCAGTGGCAGGTCACCGGGGAGGCTGGGTAAGTACTGTTGCCGTCTGGAGACACCGTCACCCTTCAAGTCTTCTTCTTGCCAGCCCAAAAGTTATGTCGGTTCCAATAAGGTCCTCTTGGCCTCACCCTTATACTGCTTGCCCCCTGTGAAGGACGCTGACGTCTTGAATACCTCAAGTATCTTGAAGTTCATGGCCAGTGATGCCCTCTCCTAGGTGGGGAAGCAGAGCTGGGTTCACAGAGCTGGGCTCTGCCATAAACACACAGGAAGTTCTTGAATCCTATGGGGTCCCTCATTAAAGGAATGGATACATTTGTCATCCATCTGCTGGTGGGGGGGTCACTGTGCAGAGAAAAAGAGGGGCTTGGCACCTTGCTTCTGGGGGATCACTGATGACCAAGCCCTCTCTGGTAGGTCCCATCACCTGAAGGTAAGGGTGGGAGGAGGGGAACACACAGCTGGTGTGGAGTGCCCTGGGCTGCCATGTCTCCAGGCGGTAGGCCCAAATCCTTCTTCAGGACATTTGGATCTTTTCAGACAACCTGAGAAATAGCTCAGGTTCCAGTCCAGCTCAGGCCAACAGTAACCTTAAAAGTGGAAGAAATGATTTGGTCAGACACTGCTCTCAGGAGGGCTTGGAGAGGACCTCAAGCTGGACCCCCCCCAAACCCCATCTGCACCAGAGCCTCCTGCAGCCGGGCCCCCGGAGCCGCCCCAGTCACCCCAGCCGTCTCCAGCGAGCGTCTGGTTCACACCGCTTCCTGATTTGTGTTACTTGGTTCTGTCTGAGGAGACTTTCCTCTGCCGAAGCTGCTGCTGAGCCAGGCCTGGCGACTCTGCAGGCTTCAGCCTCCTCCACCTCCAGCCAGGCCCGGGGCTCAGCTCACAGAGGTAGCTTCCATTTGTTCTGGAAAGAAGTCTCCCCCTGGGCAACCCAGACCTGCCTGGAAAGCCAAAGCTTTGGTTTCCAGGAAGTCCAGCTGGGGCCTGTGACAAAGTTCTGCTTGGTCACTGCTCCACTCCAGCGAGGCATGTGGGTGCCAGCTTTGTGTGTGTAGTGGAAGCAACGGAAGACCTGTGTGGGGTCACCCAGCCAGAACAGACTGTTTCATCTGGTTTTTCTTGGAGGGTTAGGCCAGGCAGGCCCGAGCCCTGGGTCTTACAGCACATTCTGTGCCTGGTGACCACGCAGAGGTTGTAACCAGGCGGCCGCTGGGGCTGGATTCGGGGAGCTCTCTCTCTCTCTCGCTCTCTCCCCAGCACCGCCAGCCGCCTCGGTTCACTGTCGACAGAGAGCCACGCCCATCCACACCAGGTGCTACTAATTACACCGGACTTCAGAGAGCCCGCCTCCTGCCCTCACGGCTCACGCACTGACACCCACTTACCAAGCAAAACTTCAGGTCTTATTTAAGGTAAGTCACCAAACTTAGTTGTAGTAGTTACGAATGTCTAAACCACATAACACGTGTTAAACAGTGCTGCCATTTTTATTAGCTCATGTTTTGTCTCTTCATCATGTCCAACTCTTCTGCAACCCCATAGACTGTAGCCCGTCAGGCTCCTCTGTCCATGGGATTTCCCAGGAAAGAATAATAAAGTGGATTGCCATCTCCTCCAGGGCAATTTTCCGATGCAGGAATCAAACCCACGTCTCCTGCATTGGCGGGCAGATTCTTTACCGCTGAGCCACCTGGGAAGCCCTTACTAGCTTTTGGGTGCCCCCAACCCCAGCTTCGCCACAAGAGCAGGATTTTTTAGGAACACCTTTGTTGGATCATAGCAGAACCAACTGTACTGTCATGTCCACTTTAAAGATGAGAAAAGTTGACATTTAGAAGATGCTGGTCCCACCTGGTAACCGTAGGACCCTGACTTAAATTCCTGGCTGAGAAGCTAGACTCTGACTGGCCCTGTGCCCGCCCCCTGCACCCAGGTGCGGAGCCTCAGCTCTGCATCCTCGTGATGGAAAAGGTCACGTGGAGGAGGCCCTCTTGTGAAGGTTTCTTCATTGGTCCTTGCTCCCAGCCCCTCCCCCTCAGTGCAGTGGTCCCGCCCACCTGGCTGCGCGTGCCCTGCGCGAGCGAAAAGGTTTGGCTACCTCATTGCTGTGCTGGTCCTTGGTGTGCTGGGCAGGGCCTGGCCCGTGACTGGACCTCAGAGATGTTTCTGGAGTCATACTGACCTGAAGACAAGGATTGGCTGCAGAGAGCTGGCAGAAGGAACTGGAGCCAGGTTCCTGGGCAGCCTGGGGCAAAGCAGCAGGGCCAGCGGCTGCCCTAGGAAATTCCAGGTACTGTCAGAACCCGGCCCCCAAGAACGGAAGCCAGGAAGAGAGTGCCCTGTGCCCCAGGACGTGGTAAGCTTCCCCTAAACTCCCCCAAGGTCGTCCCCCACCCCATCTCCTACCAGCTCACTGGTCCTGTATCTGTTGCTCTTCACCTATCTTTAAGGGGTCTATCAGAACCTTGCGTAGGTATTTCCCTGGTGGTCCAGTGGCTAAGACTGCCTTCCAATGCAGAGGGTAAGGGTTTGCTCCCTGATGGGAAGGTAAGATCCCATCTGCCTTCTGGCCAGAAAATCAAGAAGTAAAATAGAAGCAATATTGTAACAAATTCAATCTGACTTAAAGAATGGTCCACATACCAGAAAAGAACCTCACTTGCATTTCATAGCTGACCCCACACTTCCTGGGTGTCCAGGGAAACCCCCATGCCCGGCCACCTGCGTGACCGTCGATCTGTTGCTCTGTCTGTTCAGACTCTGTGCCCTGTGGTTTCTGGGCTCCTTCGGTCACGAGTCATGTTGTTTGGTGATGCCTCAGTTTCTCATACACAGGCAGAGCCCAACTTAGGGATGAGTTGTGTTCTCAGGTGAATTGTAAGTGGACCATCAGAGAGAACTTGTGTTCTGTACAAGCTGTGAGGACGCAGGGTGGGCCCCCAGATGAGCTTAAAAAGGCCTAACAACCCACAGTGTGGGCCACAGCAGGGTTCTGAGTACTGGGGTGGTGGGGGAGGCATGCAGGAGGAGGGGGCACAGAAAAGAGTTGCTGCTTCTTGAGCATGAGAGCAACTGTGGGGGGAAAAAACAAAGAAACCCAAAACACTGAAACAGTCGGATGTAAGTGCCTCCATCTCTCCTGGATTGTTCTTCCATGTGCTGTCACCCTCTCTTGGTCCCTGGGCCAGTTTTGATACCAGAGGTCCTTCTGAAGAAATGACATGAGAAGCTGTGGGGACTTGTCTTCCAGCAGGCATTTGGCCAGCACGTTGAAGGGGTTTCCCATTTGTCTCCCTTCACATCATAAGGGTCAGAGTGGGGAGAGAGATTGAGACTCAGATATCTGAAGAAATTTTATTGTTTTTTAGTTGAAGTATAGTTAATTTGTGATATTGTGTTTCAGGTATGTGATAGTGTGTGTGTGTATATATAATTTTTCTAGATTATTTTATATTATAGGTTATTCTAAAATACAGAATATACTTCCCAGTGCTATACAAATCCTTGTTGTGTATATATTTGATGTATTAATGTAATACTTTGTATCTGTTAATCCCATACTCCTAATTTATCCCTCCCTACTTTGTTTCTCCTTAGGTAAGTTTGTCTTCTATGAGTCTGTTTCTGTTTTGAATATAGATTCATTTGGATTATTTTTTAGATTCTATGTGTAAGTGACTTCATGTGGTATTTGTCTGATTTACTTCATTTATTATGATATTTTCTAGGTCCATTCCATGTTGCTGCAAATGGGATTCTTTCTTTTCTTATGGCCGAGTAATATTCTACTGTAAAAATGTACTATACCTTCTTAAACCAATCATCTGTTTATGGACACTTAGGAAACCCTCCCTTGTCTTGGCTATCATAAGTAGTGCTGCTGTGAACAGTGGGTTGCATGTATCTTTCCAAGTTAAGAATTTTTACCTTTTATGGATGTATGCCCAGAAGTGGGATTGCTGGATCATATTGTAGCTCTATGTTTATGTTTTTAAGGAACCTGTATACTGGTTTCCATCGTGCCTGCACCAGTTTACATTCCCACCAACAGTAGAGGAGGGTTCCTTTTTTGCCACACCCTCTGTGGCATTTATGGTTCGTAGACTTTTTATTGATGGCCATTCTGACCAGTGTGAGCTGATAGATACCTCATTGTGGTTTTGATTTGCATTTCTTTTATAATTAGAGATGTTGACCATTTTTTCATGTGTCTGTTGACCATCTGTATGTCTTTGAAGAAATGTCTATTTAGATCTTCTGCCTATTTTTTGATTGGGTTTTTTTTTTAATGGAGTTGGAATGAGATGTTTGTATGTTTGAGAAATTAATCCCTTGTCGTTACATCATTTACAAATATTTTCTCCCATTCTGTAGGTTGTCTTTTTGTTTTATTTATGGTTTCCTTTGCTGTGCAAAAACTTTAAAGTTTGTTTATGTTTCATTATTTTTGCTTTTATTTCTATTGCCTGAGGAAACTGATTTGAGAAAATATTGCTACAATTTATGTCAGAGAATGTTTTGCCTGTGTTCTAGAAGTTTTATGGTGTCATGTCATTTATTTAGGTCTTTCAGTCATTTTGAATTCATTTTTGTGTATGGTGTGAGGGAGTGTCCTAACTTCGCTGATTTACATGTGAGTGTACCACTTGCTGAAGAGACTGTCTTTTATATATTCACCTCCTTTGTCAAAGGTTAATTGACTGTTTGGGTTTATTTATGGGCTCTCTTCTATTCCATTGATCTATGTGTCTGTTTTTGTGCCAGTACCACACTGTTTTGATTCCTATAGCTTTGTAGTATTGTCTGAAGTCTGGGAGTGTTATGCCTCCAACTTTATTTTTTTTTTTTACCCTGAGGATTGCTTTGGCAATTATGGATCTTTTGCAGTTCCATATAAAATTTAAGATTATTTATTCTAGTTCTGTGAAAAGTATCATGGGCATTTTGATAAGGATTGCACTAAATCTGTAGTTTGCTTTGGGTAGCATGGCCATTTTAACAATATTAATTCTAAATATATGAAGGAATTTTAAATGACTGTTGGAAACAGGTTGGGCTTCCTTCAGAGATGGCCATGTGCTCCTCATTGCTGTGGTTCAGGAAGCATTAAAAGGTGAGGGCCCTCAGTTGGTCAGGAGATGGAAGAACGAGGGAATGTTTCGGTTGACTCACATGGGTTAAAAAGTTTGAGGCAACGTTAAAGTTTGGGAGATTTTACATACAATATCAAATTTCTGTCTTCTGCTGAAAAAATTGGAGGACCTGTCAACATGAAGCCCTCTTTTCCGCATGTTGACCACAATCAGCCAGAGCTAGTTGTCTCTTTCTCTCGACCCTCAGCTGTGTTCTCCGGTTCCTCACAGTGTTTCCCATCGTTCAGTCCATCCTCCCGACCAGGTCAGTTTAGCTCATTTCTATCACCTGCCCTGTGAGTTGTAGGCCCTGGACTTGACACTGCTATAGTGGAGGAAACTCAGCTGTTAGATACGGGCACAGCACCCCCTCAGCCTGACCCTGCTTTCTCATGGGAGCTGCCCCCCCAGAGCCCCTGTGACCAAATGGCTGTGTTTTGTGTTACATTCTCCCATGTTTTAACTGAGCAGTTGAGGTGGATGCCTGATACCAGGGCTGTCAGTTCACTGGCTGATAGTGACACATGCTTACTTGGGCCTGGAGGGGGAAAACGTGCTGAGCCAACCAAACTTTCACTCTTGGCTGTAAAAACTGAGAATTACAGCATGAACCAGCAAGTTGGCGATGGTTCTGTGCCAGGGAGAGGCCAGAGAAGTCACAGAAGCCCTCAGGCTGAAAGTGGAAGGCACTTGGAAGGAGTTCATTTTGGGATGGGTGGGAGGGAGTGTGTGGACCGAGAGAGGCAGTGATACCTTGGGGGAGAGAGAGAGCGTGTGGCCAGAGAGAGAGAAATCTAGTTCCGGGTCCCAGAGCTGTCTTGGTTCCTTAGCGTTTTTCAGCTTCATAGCCAGTTCATGTGTTTTTCTATGAGAAACTCTCAATTCCTTGAGTGAAGTAAAGTGTTCTTTTGTCCCTGCATTCAAGAAAAGCTAATCAGGCACTCTTCAGGCCTCTGCTCACTGGAGAGTCTGTGGTTTTGCCAATTGAGTTAAGGGTTTTACCTCCATGGTGTGCCTCCACCCCCCACTATTGGCAGATAACACTTGGTGGACAGAAAGCAGATGCATTAGGAATCAAACTTTAAGACTACTTCCTCTTCTTTTTTTTTAAGTTGATTTTTTAAAAAATCAAAATATAGTTGATTTACAATGTCACATTATTTTCTGCTCTACAGCAAAGTGATTCGGTTTATACATATACGTGCATTCTTTCTCATATTGTTTTCATCAGGGTTGATCACAGGATATTGAGCATAGTTCCCTGTGGAGTAGGACTTTGTTGTTTATCCATCCTGTATATACTAGTTTGCATCTGCTAACCCGGAACTCTCAATCCATCCCCCTCTGCAACACACTGGCAACCGTCAGTCTGTTCTCTATGTCTGTGAGTTTCTGTTTCTTAGGTAAGTTCATTTGTATGTCACATTTTAGATTCCACATATAAGTGATATCCTATGGTATTTTTCTATTTCCTCTCCTTTTGCTTCTGCAACAAAGGTATGCATACGATTCTCAAGACAGAAACATGCACGCATCTTAAGATCTAATTTTATTACATTATCATATTCCCAACAAGGAAAAAAAAGGTGTAGGTAAAGCTGCTTGTTTTCTTATATACATCTGTCAGCCCTAATCAGACAAACCCCACTTAGGTGATAGAAAACTATTCAGGGATTGTCATCCTTCTTGTGAACCTGAAGAATATTTAACTTGTTGATTAAGCACTTAACATTACAAATGAATGCAAAACTGTCTGTCAGTTCTGGTGTGATTATTTTGGAAATGGTGTAAGTGTTTAGGTTGCTGTGACAATGAATGACCTTTGGGATAATTAAGGCTGCCATGTTGCATCAGCTTTTCTGTGGAGTTATCATGCGTGTTCCAAGGAGAAGAAAAGAATGATGCGTATTCTCGCTCATCATAAAGTCGCTGATTTGTGTTTTAAGCAACCGCTGCCTAGATGAGATGACAAAGAACTTGAGGCTATAGCTGCCCCAGTGAAGGGAGTTGAGGAAGGGTAAAAAAAATTGTGTCATTGGGGAAAGCTGCCAACTATGATGTTGTCTCCGTGGCACCAGCCAAACAGTCTGAAACCTGAACAGCCACATAGATGCGGGGGGACACACAGAGATGGAACAGCTGGGAATTGACCGAAGTTTCCACTTTGTAGCCAAGTCTTGGCGTCATGGAGATTAAGACTCGACTGATCTCACTGGAAAATTGTCCAGACTTTTGCTGTGGTCTTTTTTCATAGATACTCGTTTTGCATTCCTAGGGAAAAAAACAATACACACCTGCTTAATAATTTCAAACACAATAGAATGCGTTTGTTATAAACTAGTTAAAAAAAATCGTTTCTCCTCTCTTCATTTTTGCTAGGATTTCAGAGATTTCATTTGTCAGAAAAAAAGGGCGTGGCATTTTCTAATAATAAAGACAAATTAACAAGAAAGACTGTCAGAGAGAGAACAAGTTTTATTCTCTGGTTAAATTATTTTTAATTTATGTAAAGTACAAAACAGTAAAATATGCCCTTTGTGGCTTACAGTCTTGTGGGCTTTGACAACTGAATATTTCTAAGAATTGTATATCCATGAGTATAATTAATTGTATAGGAAGAGTTCCAGCACCCCAAATCCCCTTTGGAGTCAGCCCTCCCTTCCCTCCATCCCCTGTCCTGCCAACACTGATCTGTCCCTTGCCTTTGATAGTTTTGCCTTTTCTGGAATGTTATATAAGTGGAATCAGACAGCATATAGCCTTTTTGTTTATTATTAATTTATTAACTTAAAAAATATTTATTTATTTGGCTTTGCTGGATGTTAGTTACAGCATGTAGGATCTTTAGTTGTGACATTCAGGTTCTTTAGCTGTGATATGTGGGATCTAGTTTCCCAGCCCCAGATCAAACCTGGGCCCCCTGCATTGAGAGAGCAGTGTGTTAGCCACTGGACCACCAGGGAAGTCCCTATTCACGTTTGCTGAAGTTTTGAGGCTGGGTGAATCTTGGAAGACAAGGTTGAGGAAGTGGGGACGTGACCAGCCTCATCTTCAGAATTATCTTCATCTGTGCAAAGAATGTATCTTCAAGGCAATGAGAAGCCACTGCAAGGGTTTGGGCACCTGACTTAGCCTCTACACACACAGGGTTCAAAGGAAGAACTGTGGGCGTGGCCTTTGGCTGTCTGTTACCAGCGCTGGGATCTGACCCAGGGCTGGGTAATTAACATGCATAATTAGCTCCTGTTTAGTTTTGAGGGCAGTTGCGGTGCAGGCAGCATCAGGCTCGTGGAGAAAAGCACAAATTAACTCTGCTATTGTGCTCTGGAGCGGCCACCCTTATTATGCTTTATCAACACAGCAGCTGGATTAGCCCTGCATTCAGTTTGCTTTGCCTCATTACAATAATTGCCTGGTGAACAATGGCATGAGTCAGCGTGATCCTTCTTACTAGGGGGACAGGGTTTGTTTGTGCAAGTGAACCTGCAGGCAGGAGGGACAGCTGGCTGGGCTAATATTTTGGGTCTTGAGGTTGATATTAAGATTTTTTTTTTTTTAAAGAAACCATTTGAATTCAGGATTGAATCTGGGGACGTGACTTTATATCAGAACTATACTCAGCCATCCAGTCATGCGATACACATACCAGTTGAATTCCTGCTGGAAATAACATGGTCAGTTACATGGTGCCTAGGGTCAGGGGGTTAGGTTTCACCTCTTCTGTGCATTAAAGCCGTGTGCTAGATGGCTTTAATCCCTCTGCTCTATAGTCCTGAATGTTTACCTTTATTTATTTAAGAATTATTTTATTGAGGTATAATTTACAATGTTAATTTCAAGTGTAGAGCAAAGTGATTCGGTTATACATACATATATCAATATATGCTTCCCTGGTGGCTCAGGTGGTGAAGAATCCGCCTGTAATGCGGGAGACCTGGTTTAGATCCCTGGGTTGGGAAGATCCTCTGGAGGAGGGCATGGCAACCCACTCTGGCGTTCTTGCCTCGAGAATCCCCACGGACAAAGAGCGGGCTATGGTCCATGGGGTCCCAAAGAGACACAACTGAGCAACTAAGCACACAGACATAAATATATATTAATGTGTTCTTTTTTTACATTCTCTTCTATTATAGGTTATTATAAGGTATTTTGAGTAGAGTTCCCTGTGATATACAGTAGGTTCTCGTTTATTTTACATACAGTGGTGTGTATGTATTAATCCTGAACCACTAATTTATCTTGCTTCTTCCCCCTCCCCCATATCCCCTTTGGTAACTTAAGTTTTCTATGTCAATGAATCTATTTCTGTTTTGTAAACAAGTTCATTTGTGACACTAAGTTTTGAAAACCAAGTTAGATCTGCTCTACATCAGGCACTGTGCTGGGTATATCCACATACTTGTCTATGATTAACCCCGTTTTTCAGATGAAGAAATCTGTATCCCAAGAATTCGTTTCCAGCTTCTCTGCCCTCTAGGTTTCCCTAGTGTCTGCAGGCTCTGGATGGTTTGTTCTTGTGGGAGCTTTGACGGACACCCTGCAGGATGGTCACCATGGTGACCAGCTTCCACTCAGAGGTGACGATGCCATCACAGGAGTCACACGCTATGTTTTTTCAAAATTCATCCTCGCAGGAAACCTCCTGAGAACTTCACAACCACCCTGTGAAGTAGACTGAGGGCAGGGAAGCCCCTTGAACTCCTGGGATCCTCTGTAGAATGGCTGCCCCCACAGCCTGTCTGTGGGCTCCTCCAGCTGTGGTTGGCAAGGAGGCTTAGGAAACACTGCTGAGCCCTACACCATCCCAACGAACTCGGGGTGGCCCCAACTCAGACTCTCTCAAGGGGACCTTGATCCTCAGAGCAGTGAGCCAGCCCCTGCCTGCGCCACTGCTGGGCCCTGCACCACTGCTGGGTGGGGGCTGTGCTGTGGCCCCTGCAGTGTCTGAAGCCCCCTTTAGTCTCTTTGCAAGCGGTTATTTCATGAAGACTGTGTGTGCGTGCGTGTGCATGCATGTACATGCTCACATATGCAAATTGCGAATGAAGGATGATACAAGAAAGTGGGAAAGACAGTCCAGTCTGTTCCTTGGAAAGTTTGCTGGGAAACAAAACCATCTCAGATGACATGGTGACACCCATCCTTAAGATGGACACATCCCCAGGGCCAGATCCTGGTAGAAGAGGTGGGACTAGCCTGGCAGGGGACGAGAAGCTCAGGCTCTGGGGTCAGCAAATTGTGGCCTCATTTTCTACCTTGTGCTTACCCTCTGTGGGACCCTGAGCAAGTTTCTGAGAGCTTCAGCTTTCCCATCTGTAAAATGGAACATGGTATAAATACCTTTGTAGGGTTAGTGTGGTAAATAAAATCACACCCCTAAAGCAAATTATCATTTGACTCCAAAATCCATGCTCTTAGGCACTAGACACATACGTACTATTTTATATATGTGTATTATGTAGATAACTCTGTGTGCATGTGGGTTTTCGTGACAGTGAGCTTACCTGAGAAAGAAATCCACTGAAGTTTTTTCAATCCTGAGGGTCCTAGGATAAACCCAGGAGGCTGCATGTGGATGTGTAAGGCCTATAAAGAACTGCTAATAAGTATTTTGGGTACAAGACAGCATCTTGGCTTCTCCCATGACTCCACCTACTAGTGCTGAGAGAGGGGTGGTCTGTTGGAGCTTTGTGATTAAGTGGTTTCTACCCAACCTCGGGCAGCAAGCGGTGAGCATGTAGTGATCTGGATGGAGTATAAAAGCCTGATTGTGGAGGGATTATGTGCCCTGGTTCCAGCCAGCTATTATCTAGTGGTTTTATTTATGGTTAGTCAAGTGAGAATGACAACACAGAGAGCCACCCTGGATGTGATTTTTTGTGGGCAGTGTGGTGTGTCAGACACTGCGTGGGCTCCTCCGCTCCGCGGCTACACCGCAGTAAAACAGCATGGCAACAAACAGCACACAACGTCCACCTCTCCTGTAAACCACGCCCTCCACACCTGCCAATGAAATCCCTAAACTGTGGGTTTTCAATATTTGTTTATAAGACACCTGCCAGGTGTGCTTTTAAAAAAGAACATTAAAAAAATGATCCATTATGTGTTTATGGTAGAAAATTGGGAAAATAAGAATAGGAAATAAAGTAATAGTCACCTGCAGGCCCCTCTCCCTCCTGCAAGGTAACCATAGCTAATGTTTTGGCGTGTGTCACTTCACGATCTTTTAAATATATGTACACATGTATAAAACACAGGTAGAGCTGTGTGCGTATGTTTATTTATAGGAATGAGATTGCTCCACACACAGTTTATAAGCTGAATTCTTCACATACTGTCTCATGACCGTCTCCCAAGTTAGGAGACCTTTGAGGCTCCATGTCTCTTTATAAGGGGCGCTCCCTACAACATTAGGGATCATGTCCCTGCAGAGTGTGGTTCAAAGAGGCCTGGCCCCGGCATCTACCTTTTGGGTGGAGTGTGAATTCAGGGAGCTTTCTGTGGGCTATGGGAGTGCCATGCCGCCTATGCTAGAAATCAACTTCTGCAGACATCAAGTGAGAACCAGGGTTCTGGTGGCTGCTTCTTAAAAGTGGGCTGGAATAGTGATCGCAGCCCAACACCTCAGCCTGCAGGCACCAGGGGCCGCCTCTACACATATGCAACCCAAATAAGGCATCTTGCCCTGAGCAGAGGTTGGGCCACAGAGCCTGCGAGGCTGGGAAATGCCTCCTTGTCACTTCTTTGGCAAGGAACCCGGTCTTCTTACCTCTGACCTACCACAAACCCACAGCTCATTCCCTCTGCGGGAAATCACCTCCAGCCTGTGGAGCTCAGCTTACCAGCAAGCTCTGTATTCCTTTGTTCTTTTTTTAATTTTAATTGAAGTATAGTTGATTTACAATATTATGTTAGTTTCAGATGTACAGCATAGTATCTTTGCAGATTATACTCTATTATGGATTATTGCAAGATAATAATGAGTTTCTCTGTGCTGTAAATATATCCCTGAACCTGATTTATTTAATTCACAGCAGTTCATGCCTTTTAATCTGCTATCCCACTTTGTCCCTCCTCCTTTCCCTCTCCACATGGGTAGCCACAAGTTTGTTTTCTAGATCTGTCACATTGTTTCTGTTTAGCATATATATTCATCTGTATTATTTTTTGATTCCATATATAGTGATATCATAGAGTATTTGTCTTCCTCTGTCTGACTTATTTCACTAAGCATGATATGCTTTAGATCCATCTCGTTGCTGTAAATGGCAGAATTTTATTCTTTTCATGACTAAGTAATAGTCCATTGTATGTATATATCACATCTTCTTTATCCATTCTTCTGTTAATGGACATTTAAGTTGCTTCCATGTCTTGACTGTTGCAAGCAGTGCTGCTATGAACACTAAATTGCATGTATCTTTATGAATTAGAGTTTTTGTCTTTTCCAGATATATGTCCAGGAGTGGGATTGCCAGATCACATGGTAACTCTGTTTTTAGTTTTTTAAGGAACCTTCATACTGTCCTCCATGGTGACTATACCAATTTACATTCTCACCAGTAGTATAGGAAGGTTCCCATTTCTCCACATCCTTGCTAACACTTGTCATCTGCATGCAGAATTTTTGACGTGAATTCCTCAGCTCTCAAGAGCCTTTGTGTTGTGTCAGACCAGTGAGTCTTGGTGCCTTGATTCTGACACGAGCTAATCCTTGAGGATCAGGAGAAAAGGGTTTGGATGTCATTTCAAAGTGAAATGAATGGAATTAACCGTAACTATGAACCAGCTAAAATTAAAGATATCAAAAATTGTCCCCAACAGGTAGACAGGTAGGGGTGGGCTAGTTCTGAGATGTGGGGTGTTTCCATGATTTCTGGCAGAGGTTCTTCTAGCTTCCTAGGGGCCGGGCGGGGCACTGCCTCTCAACCGGAAGCTCAGCCCTGCAGAGGGTGATTGTGTTCCTGGGGCCACCTCACTCTTGGTGACAAGTGATGCTATGCAGAGCCCACTGAGGCCTAAGGAGGAAAGAATACATTGAGGGGACTTCCCTGATGGTCCAGTGGTTAAGACCCCGCCTTCCCGTGCAGGGGGTGTGGGTTCGATCGCTGGTCGGGGAGCTAAGATCCCACATGCCTGTCGGCCAAAAAATCAAAATGTAAAACAGAAGCAGTATTTAGCAAGCTCCAGAAAGACTTTAAAAATGGTCCACATCAAAGAAGTCTTAAAGAAGGAGAGTGGTGCTGGTAGGCCCCCAGTGGCCTTGCGGCCATGGATTGTGCCCACTGCCTGCCTCTCTTGCTGCCCAAAGGCCCATTTCATTCTCTGCACAGGAGCATCTCTGTAGCTTCTTCCAGCATGGCTCTGAGGGCTGAAGTGTGTGTCCAGCTGGCCTGGTTGGGGTCCCGTGTCCCTGGTGCGTGGGCATGGGTACCGTGACTGCAACCCCTCTACAGCCTTGCGGTTGGAATGCAAGGGGGGGTCATCTAAAGATGATGACCCTTCCTCAGAAGTGGGCAGATAAAAAAGGAGAGAGACTCAAGCCCTCCCATGCAGTTTTATTTTTCAGCTCTGAAACAAAAGCTATCCGCACACCGGTCTCTCCTGGGCCCCCTTCATCCTCTGACCACCTCTGCTCACTTGCTCTTGCCTACACCGGTCCCCAGGCCCAAAGCCTCCTGCCCTCCCTGTCTACCCAGATCCTGCCCGGTCGGTGTCTGAGGGCTCATCTCATCAGGCAGCTCTCCCCCGGCTCCTCCAGCCTCTGCCCGAGTCTCTGCCCCCACACCACCCTGCGTTCTGCTCCCTCTGGTGTTCCTCTGGAGCCCGTCTTCTCTCCACGGCCCTTCCAGGGAGAGTGGACCCTGTTCTAGCTCTGCCTCTTCATTTCCACCGACAGCCTTAACCCATCTCACTCTGGGCACTCTCTCTCTCCTGGCATCTGCCCGCCCCAGTGGCCACCTCTTAGTGTTTATCTCACTTCACCTTTCTGAAGTTCAAGTTTTCAACGAAAAGTTGACCCCCATTTCTGCCTTAAAACTCTCTCTTCTTTGGGTCCTTAAGACACCAGGCTCTCCTGTTTCTCTCTACTTTAGATATTCCTAACTTAGTCTTTTTAATTTTTAAAAAATTTTATTGGAGTGTAGTTGATTTACAATAAGTTAGTTTCTGCTGTATAGCAATATGATTCATTTATACATACACACACATATTTGCTCTTTTAAGAGTCTCTTCTCATACAAGTTATCCCAGAATATTTAGTAGAGTTCCCTGTACTATACAGTAGGTCCTTCTTGGTTACCTGTCTTATATTTAGTAGTGAGTATATAGTCATCCTAAGCTCCTCATTTAGCCCTCTCCACCAGAATGTTCCCCCTTTGGTATCTGTTAAGTTTGTGTTTGATATCTTTAAGTCTGTTTCTGCTTTGTAAAGAAGTTCACTTATATTATTAAAAAAAAATCTAGATGCCATTTATGAGTGTTATCATATGACTCAGTCTTCTTTAAAAAAAAAAAAAAAACAAAAACCCAAACACTCTTTGTCTTCTATGACAGCTTTCCTGCTGTCTGTCTCTCACGTCATTGTTCACCATTTTCATGATTTGACAAACCGGTTACATGCCCTTGACCCCAACACTTACACCTCACCTGCCTCCTCTGAGCTTCAGACATATGCATCCTGCTATCCATTTGATGGCTCTGCTTGTGTGTCTCATGACAGGGTAGTGTAATAAGATCGAGCCGCTAAAGGTAACCAACTGATTCGCATGCTAATCTCAGAATTAAGATGTCCCCAAATGAGCAAATTTCCCTCAGGAATTTGGCTCTTTTCCACGCTTCCCTGTCTGAGGGATGGTATTTCCATGTCCACAGGCGCTCGTGCCAAACCTGGGCTTGTCACCACCCTCTCCATGCTCCCCAGGTCCGTCCCCACATCCCAACTCTGCCCTGTATCATCTCTCTCCCTCTGTGGCCACCGTCACTTCTCATTCATCACCACCATCCTCTTGCTAAGCTTTAACTCACCTGCTTCCTTCTGAGTCTTCCTCCCACCCAGCAGCCAGGGTCATCCCTCTGCTCCAGGACTTTGACAGGGGAGTTACTGCTCTCAGATTAAAATCCCCAAATCCAAACCCAGTCCTGTTCAGACCTGATGAGACACCAGCCTTCTCTTCCAGCTTGGTTTCCACACCGGATCCTGCCCACGCTCCCAGTCTCCCTGCCAGTCTCCTCAGCCTCCGAGCTCCTTTGGGCCCAGCCCCTCCCACGGCTCCTCCTGTGTCTCCTCAGTCTGGAACTTTCTTTCCTCGCCCTCCGTCTGCCTTTGTAGGGTCACCGTTTAGGTCACTGCTAAGACAGGCCATCCCTTTCCCCAAGCTAAACTGAGACCATGTATGATCTCTGTCGCAGTATTTCTCCTTTCCTGCACAACACTTACAACTGCTTTTATTCTGTTTTTGTATTATTAGTTTATTATGTATTACTTGTGTGTCCCACTAAAGGGTCCACTTCACGAAGGTAGGGAACCAGTCTTGTTCATCACCATTTGCCCAGGAACACGATATCTGCACCACAAAAATTATTGAATGAAAGAACAAATAAATAAATACAGCTAGATTTTAACATCCCCCAGGGGCAGAGTGGGGGATATTCTTTTCACCCTCAGCCAAAAATTTAATAAATACTTACTGACCTCAATACTATATTATGGGAAAAAAAGAACAGTAACAACAACAAGGAAAAGAATGACAGCATTAGAAGTCAATGTGATTGAAGGAAAGTCATGGGCTGTAATATAATTAGCCTTAGCAAGTGAGGGACAGGATTATAGCCACAGGATCCCTGAGTTTGTGAAATAGTGATGTGCTTAATAATGTAAGTTTGTTTTGCTTGGAAATAGCAGATGAATTGGATGCACATCTGGATATTTGGCATTGCGCAGACAAAAACATCTGGATGATTGGCTGAACGCTTCAACTTAACTAATGTGTTTCGGAGCTGTGTAAACAGTCAGAGAATGATTCTGAAATTATGTTTTTTGGGAGGCGGCCACGTGAATAAGTGGAGGAGGAGAGTTCTTGTTCCAGAAAGACGATGGACTCAGAGACTTGAAATCCCTCCTATCCCAAACACACAGCGAACTCAGGATGCATGTGACCCTTGGAAGCTGCACAGCCAAGGCCATGAGTCTTTGAAATGAGGAGGAGACTGAAACTCAGAGCCCATGAACTGACCTGGGAGTCTGTTTTTGCTCCCAGTAAACCTGGGGGCTTGGGCTTGAAACCCACTTGAGGACAGGAGACAAGGTCTTGGAATCCTGAGAAGTCTTAAGTCAGGACATCTGAAGAGCTGAACTCTCAGTGGAAAGGGGGATTAGAGGAAATCTGGCTCTTGGCACAAGGAGGAGACGAGGAAGCCGCCTTAGCTCTAGTGGAAGGAAACAGTCTCCCTAGAGAAAAATGAAGCCCTGGGCTTGCCCTTGGGCTTTGGGTCCAAAACATGTCTTTACTCCACTCAGAAAGCATGCAAATATCTCTGCAAGGCTCAGGAAAACTCCAAGCAGAGAAATAAACATAACAATCTGTCCCAGAGTGAACACCCCTGGAATGTCTGCCCTCCTGAATCACCCAGCAGTGATTCTCCAACAACACTGGCCTCACTGTGCCTTCTCAGTAAATGAGCCTCATTAAAGATGAGCTCATGAGTTTAAAAAATTAGGAAACATACAATGAAATAATTTGCTGTGAGCAAGAGTCAGCAGACACAACAAACAGCAAGATTCCAGTCCCATGAACTTGAGCTAATAAAGACACAATCAGAGAGAGGGGGGAAAGTATGCTAAAAATGCTTAAAAACATAATAGAAGGAATCAAGTCCTGGAGGGAAGATCAAGACACTGTAAATAAAGAAGAAAAGTTTGCGGAATAATGAATAGGCCTTCCAGAAATGTGAAATATATTAATTTTTTTAAGAGAAAAATTTATTTGGCTGCATCTGGTCTTAGTTATGTGGGATCTTCAGTCTCCATTGCAGCATGCAGACTTTTAGTTGTGGCATGTGAGATCTAGTTCCCTGACCAGGGATCCAACCCCAGTCCCCTGCATTGGAAGCATGGAGTTTTAGCCACTGGACCACCAGGCAAGTCCCTGACATATACTTATTGAATGAAAATCTCAGTGGATGGATTAGATACTGCATTAGCTCACTGGAGGAGAGAATTGTTGAACAAAAGAAACAACATGGAGCGATAAAATGGAAAACATGAAAGGGAATTTAAATAATGAAAACGTCCAATACAAAGCTAATAAAAGTTCCAGGAGGAGATAAGAGAGAAAGAATTAGAGGAAATATTTGAGGAGAAAATAGATGATAATTCTGAACTGATTAAAGCTGTGAACCCTCCATGGAAGAATTCCAGGAAACCCCAAGCTAGCTAACCCCACACCTAGTTACTTCCTTGTATGAACATTAAATACTAAATAAAGGGAGAAAAACTGCAAAAGAAAGAGAGATAAGAGATCACATACAAAGTAACAGTGGTTAGAATGACGGCAGATCTTTCAATACCAACAACAGAGATCAGACGGGAATAGAACGGTATCTTCTTAGAGTTATGATCAGGAGTGGGAAAGGGACTTCCCTGGTGGTCCAGGGTTGAGACTCCGTGCCCCCAGTGCGGGGGGCCTGAGTTCAATCAGGGAACTAGATCTCATGTGCTGCAACTAAAAGTTTGCGTGTCACAACCAGAGAGTCCATGTGCTGCAACTAAGACCCAGTGCAGCCAAATAAATATTTTTTTTTTTTAAGTGAGGGAAAAAATGACTCTTTTAGCTAAAAGCAGTGTAAAGAATGATCAGAAAATGTGTCTATGAAGGAAACAGGTGTAAGGAGGGACAAACGTTAGCTGTGTAAAAGAACAATAGTGAAGACTTGATTCACGTGTTCCAGTGACTAGAATGGACATCTCTGGAGCCACTAGGCTGCCTACAATAGTGTGCTTGCCACTTTTACTTTCAGCCATCCTAGTAGGCACGTCACCGGTGGTATCTTCTTGCAGTTTTAATTTGCTTTTCCTTAGTAACTAATAATGTTGAACATATTTTCATTTGTTTATTTGCCATTTACATATTTTTTTTGTAAAGAGTCCGATCAGATTTTCTTATTTTTGTTGGCTTATTTTTATTAGTGAGTTTTAAGTGTGTTTTATGAACTTAAATTCAGAACAAATACATGTTTTGTAAACGTTTTCCCCAGTCTGTGGCTTGGTTTTAAATTTTTGAACACTGTCTTTCAAAAAGCAAAAGTTTTAAATTTTGATGAAGTCCAATTTTTCAAGTATTTCTTTAATGGTTCTGCTTAATTTAACCTACCTAAAAGATCTTAGTTTAACTCAAAGTCATAAGCATTTTGCCTTATGTTTTCTTCTAGAAGTTTTGTAGTTTTGAGTCTACATTTAGGTCTGTGATCCATTTGAAGTTATTTTTTGTATGAGGCATAAGATAAGGGTTGAATTTCATGTTCTTGCATATGAATGTCCAGTTATTATAGCACAATTTGATGAAAAGACTGTCTTTTCCCATTGAATTATCTTCATACTTTTGTCTTACTTGACTGTATGAGTGGGGTCTGTTTTCAGAGTCCCTATCCTTTTCATTGTCAATATCACACTTTCTTATTTACTAGATTTTATTAGTAAGTCTCTAAATCAGATGATATAATTCCTCCAACTTGTTTTTTATCAAAATTGTCATGGCTACTTCAGATCCTTTACATGTCCACATAAATATTCAAATCAGCTTATAAATTTCTACCAAAAATGTCTTCTGAAATTTTATTGGCATTTCCTTGAAATCTCAGATTAAGTCCAAGAGAACTGACAGCTTAACAATATTGAGTCTTCTGATCCATGAACATGATATATCTCTCCATTTTCGTAGGTCATCTTTCATTTCCCTTGGCAGTATTGTTAATTTTAGGTGCACTGGTCTTGAATTTTTTTTTTTTTTTTTTACTGTTAAATAGCCCCATAATAATACATTTGATGCTGTTATAAATGGTATTGTTTTTCAGTTTCAATTTCCAACTGTTCCAATATTTTATGTTGAACTTTGTTTCTAGCAGCTTTTTTGTATATTCTTTAGGTTTTTCTCCAGAGATGAGCATATTGTCTTTATGCATTTTATTTCTTTTTGTTGCTTAATATCTTTGGCTATGTACTCCAGTGTAATATTGAATAGAAATAGTAAGAGTGAACATTATTATTTTATTCTCAATCTTAGGGATAAAACATTCAGTCTTTCACCATTAAAGGCAATATTAGCTGTCGGCTTTCATATATGTCCTTTATCAGGTAGATAAAGTTTGTGTAAAATGGGTATTCTTCCTTTAAAATGTAGTAAATGTAGTAGAGGTCACTACTTGGAGTTTTATTTATGAGATGAATTATAACTATAAGTTTATTTAAAAACTAACAAATGTTGGGCTATTCTGGTTATCTTAGTTTTTTAGTGAGCTTTGGAAGTTTATATATTCCCAGGAATTTGTCTACTTAAGTTGTCTAATATATTGACATAAAGTTATTCATAATATTTCTTCATTAAAATTACCATCTTTTGACTATTTTCTTAATTGTTTTAAAATTTTTACTTTTATTTCTTCTACTTCACTGATATCCGCTCTTTTGCTGTTTCTTTCCTTTTGCTTTCATTGGGTTTAATTTGCTCTTGTTTTTGCTTTCTTAAGGTAGATACTTAGTTAATTGATTTGAAACTTTTCTTTCTTAAAGTAAGCATTTAATACTACAAATTTCCTCTAATCACTGCTTTGACTGTATCTCATAAGTTTTGTTATGGTGTGTTTTCATTTTCATTCAATTCAAAATGCTTTTTTTTTTTTTTGACTTGTGTTCTTTAGATGCAAGTTTTTAAATTTTTGAGTATTTGATAACTTTCCAAATATATTTCTATAATTGATTTTTAGTTGAGTGAATTACGTTACATTCAGATAAAGTACTTTGTATGATTCCAGTCCTTCTAAATTTATTGAGACTTATGTTATGACTCAGAATTTGGTTTATCTTGGAAAATGATCTGTGTACCCTTTAAAATGATGTGTAATCTTACTATTGTTGAGTGAAGTAACAGGTCAATTAGGTCAAGTTGGTCAATAGTGTTATCAAGTATTCTAGATAATTACTGATTTTCTGTTTGTTCTAATGATTACTGAGAAAGGAGTGTTGAAATCTCCAAGTATAATTGTGTAATTATCTGTTTTTCCTTTCACTTCTACTAATTTTTGCT